AACCGTCCGAGGATATCATTAAATCGGGGATCTAAATCAATCTGATATTTGTCTATGTATTCAAACAGTTCTTCAGTGCCCAAAACCTTTGCAATTCGCACTAACTGAAAAGTATAAAAATATGTACGCTAACATTATCTTCAAGTTCAACAAATTTCTACTCAAACACAACTTTCATCATTAGATTAAAGCAAATTAATTAAAACCCATACTCTTGATGAAGGGGACGGAGTGCCATACTGTGAAATTGCCATTAATGCACTAGTCGGTACAGGTATCCGAGAAGGTTTAGAAGCTTTTCCAGTAGATAGTTTACAGGAAATGCGTGAAGAGCATGATAACGGACGACGTATTGGCGTTAACTGACAAAGTAAATTTGGTCATTTTTTTCTTCGGTTATGAAATTTAAAAAAAAATTGAGATAAAACAAATAATGATTCCTCGATTTAACTAACAATTTATACCAATTTATATAACAAGACAAAATACCGCGTTCTGAGGCATAATCCGACTATGCAATAATATCGGTGTACATATCGGTGTACCAGAACCTGTCTGTGTAGCGTGACTGAAACGCCGTTTTTTAAGAAGAATGAAAGAAAACTCCATTCTAAAAAAATTGTATAATTGAAAGAGAATTATTTCAATAATAAACAAATGATAAATTCTCATCATTCGAAATATTTATCTTAAGAAATTAAGACTGCATCTGAGAAGTTGGTTTAATTTGTCAAATAAAAAAAGTAATATTCACCTAGCGAAAGCAGCATGATGGGCATCATAACGTGGACAAACATAACAAGCAGACCCTTCAATTGGAGTACTAGTGCCACGTGAGGCTGTAGATGCAATAGATCTCTAAAACAAATGCTGAAATTTTTTAAAAAAAATTCTAAAATTTTCAAGCACATAGTAAACGGCTTACTTTCTTGAACAAAGGTGTAACAATTGTAGGTTGTTTTCTGACTATTGCTGTCTTCATATATTGTTTAGGTGTTTTGAAAGATACAGTGGTAGTTCGATCGCTTGGACGTGAAATATTTGCATGTGTAATACTATTATCCATCTGCCCCATTAAATCAGAACGAGAAATCTGGGAAGCTCGTGGCTTCACTGGAGAAATCTGCAATATTTACAATGATCAAAAATATACAATAACAAAAAAATTTGGATGAACAGAGGAACTGAAAACAAAACCACTTTTATCGGACCAAAAGAAATGTAAGGAAAAGATTAAACTGACGTACTTCACTTTTCCCACCAGCTGCCAAATCAACTTTATCAATACGAGATAAATCAAATGTTGCTTGCAGAGGAGCGGGACATCCAAGAACTTTTTGGTTTGCCGACTGCAGTGATATTTCATCATCCTGAAGAGAGCTGCTTTAACTGCGAAAAACAACAGCAAAATGATCACACAAAATTAACAACGTTCAATGAATTACTTTCCTGAACCATATCTTTTAATATAGTTAAAGTTAATGCCATTAACTCTACATAAGAACAAAAAACCGTAGTTGTCAAGTTGTCAATCTGATGAATGAAATAGTAATCCAAATATTTAAGACTACCACTTTTTTTCACGGTATTTGAAATCATGAAATGTGTTGATGTTCCTCAAGAAATATAGAGAACAGAATGGCTCATTAACGCTGAATAATAATATCAAAATATTATAAAGTTTTGAAAGACTGACATGATGAACACTTATCGAATCAGCTGTTTGCAATATCTGATGTTCAACTACTACCATCGCTTCATTCAAGATCTCCCGCCGTAATGTATTTTTAGCAGTCTACAGTAACTATTATTTCATAAAAATATGTCTGTATTTTTGGATATTACTATTAACAGTCAGCTAAGCTCATTTAAGAGTACGGACATACAGGTAGTATTTCCCTTTTTAGCACTGCAATCGCCTTCTTTATTTTGGGAAAATTACTCATACAAGATGAATAAATATCACTAAAAGATATAGTTTTAATATCCGCCATTAATTTAAATCATGTAAGGTCTGTGACTACTTGCACCTGACCCTTATCAAAAGCTATATTCAATATTTCCTTGAATAATTTTAGTCAAATGAAGACCGGCTAAAAAGTCTAGAATTAAATTATATATGAAAGAATTCACAGAGGCTTACTTCATCATTATGCTCAGAACCAAGTACAGAAATGTTGTGCTGCTCTTTCCGATCTTCTTGTACTGGATTCATCATATTCCCCTGTAAATAATTACCATTCTCCTGAAAAATCTGCCAATGTCGTGGAAAAGCAATATTTAAATTTTTAACATCATAATAAAAAAAGAAAAAAAACCTTAGCTACATGCGATTTCTGAGCAGTGGAAGTCTCATCCAATTTAGGTTCTAGCATAGGCTCATATCCTTCACTACTGCTCACGTGGTCTTCACTTGTGAGCAAAAGTAAATCTTTATTATCCTCGTTCTTTTCGATAGTATATGTCAGGTTTGTAGCACAGTTCTAAAATTACCAAAGTTTCAAGCGAAAGTAAAAATATTAAAGCATCTTCGAGATCGAGATTTGGCAAATGAAAAAAAAGGTCAGTAAAAACCAGCCTTTAACAAAGTTTGGTTGAGAATTTCATGCATGTCTTGGCTTTGACAGTATGTATTATGACGAAAATACGAAGCTGAAAGCATGATATTTTCAATAGTTGGTTTTCAAAGAAAAGAATGTTTCATCGAGACAACGATAAGAGAATATAAAACTCATTACAGCCATCAACTTCCATCGGTTCACCAAAATCGTTACTATTGTTTTCATCGCTTGCAACGTCGTCAATAGCGATCTTTTCCATTTCACCAGTAGCAGTAACAACGCTTACCTGGTGACTTTTGTTTACTGAAACGTTTCTACTGTTAACTTAAAGCTGACACGAAAATAAATGATTTCTGAAAAAATAAGAAAATACAAACCTGAGTCATCGCCTGTACTATATGATGTTTCAATATAAGTGACACTGAAATCTGGTGTTGGCGCACGGTCAGTTAAGATGTTAAAATTAGGATGCGTTTCTCTCGCCTAAATTAGATAAAATCACATATCGGTTCATGTTACATAATTCTACAGCAAAGTGAATTTCAAATATTTCATAATGTAATATTCTCACATTAATCAGTGCACAATCGCAATTAATTATTTATCGCAATTACAAGGGTCAGGTAGTAGATGACAAAATTAAAAAGAAATTCGGAATATTACTTTCTCCAATCGTTCTTTTGCTTCCTTCCGAAGAACCTCCAGTTCTTCATTCTTAACTTCATTTTGTACAGGGAGAATTTCTATTTCATCCAGAAAGTCTGGTGTATCTTCCAATTCTTCCGAACCATAATATCCTGTATCACCTCCTCTCCAACCATACAGTTGGTCAACACAAATTATTTTCTGAAAAATCAAAAACACATAATACTATCATTCTGCAGCTTACAATAATATTATATATTTCAATTTCTGTTACATAAACCGATGGTCAACAATGCAAATTTGATTAGTAATTAACATGAAGAGTAGTATGAACGTCTCCTGGTTAGATTAAATCTACAACAGTAAATACAATAGCATAATATAGAACTTACACGGCCACATTTGAAATTCCTGGTATGTTTGAACCATTTCGGTAACATACTGTTAACATCCCGCAGGTATTCCGATTCTATTCCCACCGCTGACATTCTTTCCTGCAAATGACGCAAATTATCAAGTATAAACGTATCCTACCGTGCCTCACCTACCATAAGAAGCATACCAATGCAATCATATAGAATGATTCCCGCCGTCAGTATGGTAAAACAAATTCTTAGACTATGAGATAAACTATGAAAACATTTCGTATTAATGGAGAGAGACAGAGATGCAGAGGATGAACAAAAAAACGGTTTGAAAGAGTTATGGAGTGTTGTTCTCGTAAGAAAGAGAGAGAAAGATATTAAATAGTTGAGAGTTTTAATTAAGATACAGAGGATGCATTCCTTACTCTTCCACGGTGAAATTATTTTGTTTTGCAGATCTGGGTAGTAAGGTAGTGTGATAGCTTTTGTTTGTAAAAAATCATTAATATCTATTAAAAATTGCCGCTATCATATCACTATCATATAGGTTGAAAAAGTTCACGCTACAATAGCACAATATGTTAATGGAAATAGATATGATCAAAGAGAAGAGATATTAGGATGTGAAGAGAGGATGATAACGATTGATAAGAATGGTAAATAAGCATGCAAGGAAAGATGAATGATTAACAGTGATGGATTTCATAAAGGAATGATAGAATAATGTTCGACCTCAGCCATGTCACATCGTTTATCTTTGTCGTAATATGCAAATTTTTGAATATGAATAATATATGGAGTGTTATAATATTATCGCAAAGTGCAGTTATTATGTAATGGTATATGCATATTTAAACGCCGCAGACATTACGTACTTTGTAAAACTGGACATGTTTAGATGCCACGCAAATTTCAACGCTAAAAATATTTCGATACAATACAAATATCGACTTATCGATGTTTTGATATGAGGCATGTTTTCACGTCAGAAAATTTTCAACACCATATATTGTTGATATAGCACGCATTTTCACTTCTCATTCATTTTAATATCATATGCATTCGTTCCGGCATCATTCACAATGGAATGGTACATACGTAAATGTTGCATATGATTAAATATCATACGTATAATAATGTTACATAATTTTAACACAGTTCATATCCAATGCAGAATACATTTCAGCTTCATATACATTTGAACGCATATATGTTTTTGAATGCTATTTACTGTCACATATACAATTCCAAATATTATGCATATTTCTATGTCATGAATCTTTCAACATCATTAATATTTTAATGTTATATACTTATTTCCATATCATAAATGCTTTTGTTTACAGGATAAAGAAGCATTAAACAGTACTGAGATGATTAAAGCAGTCTAAAGAGATAATAGTTAGAGGTTTTCGAAGATAATGCCTTCGACTGAAAAGTTCTTGAAAACAATGTCTCCGTTAGCATTTTGCTCTATTGTTGAAAGTTTCATTCAGGAAAAAGCAGCGTCTCTCGACTTGCATTTTTCGTTAATTGATTTCCATTTTGAATGTTTCCATTATCAAATTCTGCTAATGTTATCATTCTACAGGTGATGAGTTCGCGGCAAGCGAGCATTGAAGTCAAGAAAGCAGCCATAGACTTCGTGACTTTCCTTAACAAAGCTGTCACACCATTTCACGGTATACATGTTTTAGTGCTTTTGAAATTAGCGGTGGGTAATATTTAATATAATAAAACATTTACTATCATATTACAAACTTAAAAATAAACTTCAAGTTGGGGAGCTCCAGAAGTTCGATATACCTGCTTGCTGAATTGATATGGATTTTACAGCTGTGGAAGAAAGTGCGAATCGATTAAGGGATGCTGGATTTCAAGAACTGAAGGAATCCGAGCACTGGACTATTGAACCATCAAAAAAATATTTCGTCACGAAGTATATTTCATTAATTATTATGAAAGCTGGATATGTATTTACGTGCAACGTAAGTGGCTATGAGGACAAATTAATTCAATTTTCAGGAATAAATCGACAATTTTAGCCTTTGCTGTCGGTGGAAAATACCGACCAGGTAATGGATATTCTATGGTTGTGGCACACACCGATAGTCCATCACTGAGAGTAAAACCAATTTCAAAACTATGCAGTGATAAATACCTACAGGTTAGGAATTGTTTTTCTTGTGAATCTCCACGTTTCCCAGCAACAATAAGCAAAATAAATTCAAATCATCAAACAAATTATTATGCCAATTATGCCATTTTTTTTTGAGGTTGGCGTATCAACGTACGGTGGAGGAATATGGCACACCTGGTTCGATCGCGACCTCAGCATTGCAGGAGAAGTTATATACAAAAAAGTAGGTTTTTTTTTTTATTTTTTAATATTGCATGCATTTCTATGTCCACCAAATTTCAGTAGTAATCTCCGTATAAAAATCATGGTTCAGCCATAGAAACAATGAGATTTCTTCACAAAGAAAATAACAATTTTCAACATTATTTCAAAATGAAACTAAATTTTTGTGCTTGTTTTTCAGCAGAAAAATTTCCAGGATAATGCTATTGTTCGGAAACTGGTAAACATTGATGCTCCCATACTTTTCATACCAAATTTAGCAATTCATTTGACTTCTTCCTCGGAACGTAACAAATTTGAGTTCAATAATGAGACCAATTTGCGACCTATAATCGCCACTCTCACAACCAAAAGCCTAAATGAAGTAAATATAATATCCTATTTTATTAATTTATGCAGAATTAAATACTTCGTCCCAAGGGATTTAGGTGATGTTTTTCATCGTGTGGTCAGTGAAAAGTTGGATTGGCGGCAGTCTTCTATAGCCATTTCCTACAATCTTCAAATTTGAAAAGATACTATCCGAATGTTTCATCTTGGGATTTTAAAGTGCTTACAATTTCGAAGGACATGTAGTCATTTTTTGAAAATTAAATAAAGTAATAGTATTTTTCTGAAGTTTTGAAAAATATTGAGCAATTGTTGTTGGACTTAAAAATTTTAGAATGCAAAGAAATGCTGGGCAGATGATGTTGATGCAAGTAGTGTGATAAACGATCATCACATGGTATTTCTGGATACAGTAGCTAATGCGGCTGACTGTGAACCTAATAACATATTGGACCTTGATTTATATCTTTACGACCATCAGAAGGCGGTAGGACTTGAGCGTTTTTTGGTTTTTTACTATTTATTGTTGTCATAATTGTTTAAGACTTGTTATTACAATCATTCAGACGATTGGAGGAGTCCATGAAGAATTTATCAGTGGCCAAAGATTAGATAACTTAGTTGGTGCATATACATGTATCTCTGGACTTCTGAAAAGCGTTGCGGCGGATGATGCGCTTACTAATGAAGAAAATATTAGATTGGCTGCCTGTTATGACAACGAAGAGGTGAGTGATCGATGAATATATATCGATGAATTACGATATTTTGACCGAACTTCGCAGACACTTCGTTGAATTTTAGTGCGGAAGCGGCTCGGCACAAGGCGCTGCAAGCAGCTTTACCGAGTGGGTTCTAAGACGTTTAGCAGCAGGTGATTCACAAGCGGCATTCGAAGAAGCTATGGGAAAGTCATTTTTGATCAGTGCAGATCAAGCACATGCAGTGCATCCCAACTATAGAGAAAAGCATGAGGTGAAACTTCGCTGAATCTTTTTAAATCTCTTATTATCGATCACTAAAGTAAGTTATCCATCCTTAACATATTGGAATTGCAGGAATGCCATAAACCAGATCTCCATGGGGGTATCGTGGTCAAGATAAATGTTGATCAACGTTACGCTACAACGGCTACTACACATAGTGTCTTGAAACAAATTGCATGTCTGGCGGGTGTACCACTGCAGGTATGAGCTTATGCGTTGTATGACTTTGATAGATTTCGGTACGTTTAGAACTGCAAGATATGTTAGCAAGCGAATGTCGGTTCGCTGAAATGGAGCGTCATGTGAATTCTTGAGAAGATACTAGTACTAACAGTGATCTTCATCAATCAAACGAAAAAATTCACTTCATAATTTTATCTTCTGGACTGTTTCGTGTAATATGGTTCACTTCTCCTTCCACTTTGAATATGAAAAAGAAGAGCTATCTGTAAATCTTGAACATGCACGATAAAGTTGCAGAAAGTAGTGATTAGGAACGACATGCCATGTGGTTCAACGGTCGGACCCATACTTTCTACTCGCCTTGGCATCCAAACAGTGGATGTTGGATGTCCACAGCTAGCAATGCATTCTATACGCGAATTGACGAGTGCTTCGAGCATCCATCAGGCTGCTACACTATACTCGGTAAGTTCTTGTATTGATAAAAGCTGAAAGCTGTTAATTGCGGCTAAACAATAGACGCTGGATTTTTATTTGAATTTTAATGAATTTGTATATAATTAGTTGAAAGTCTTTGCAATGGATAAGTTGTTCGGTAAGAAAGTTTTGCTTTTAAATTCCTTAATCGCTTCAGACGTTCTACCAACAAATTCCGCATGTTTTGGCAACCATTTCATGAAGAGATTATGATCTGCTTGTTGGTTATTACTGTAGTGGTTTTTAATTTGGATTTATCTTTTTAACACAGTCTAAAAAAAAATTGATAAAACTTGCAATGACAAATAAACATGGAATAAACATACCGGATAAAACAATAACTATTGACTGTATTTACATTGACATTGTGCAATCAGAAAAAAGCAGTTCTGTTCTTATTCCAGATATACTTAATTTTAAGGCTCTGCGGAAAGAAAGCTGAATCAATTATTTCCATTTTCAAAAAGTTCATTAACTTTGTCTTTCGCCATCCTCACTTGATCTTGCATTCCACTCAGAAATATTTTGCTCCCAGGTTTGCTTGAATCCATGAATAAGTTGAAATTTCATTTAAGATTTGAAATGAATTACATATGAAGAAGTACAGGTAAGTCGATTTTGCATCACTCTTTGTGAATCCTAAAATTTTTGAAAACGGACAGAAGTTTTCACTGGATGGAAGTTTCATTCAAAAACATCTTCATGCTCGCAGACATATTTGAAAACATCACGAGGTGTTTTTAACTTCTCACTATCCAATTCCGAGATCTCAAAACCGAATTCATCCTCCAGTGACATAACAATTTCAACGTGATCCAAGGAATCGAAACCCATATCCTTAACAAAATCACTATCTAATGTCAATGTTTCCTTTTTTTCTTCTGGAAATCGATCCCATGCACGAATCGCTTTCATAACTCGCTGCTCAACCTGAAAATCTACGAACTAGTAATTCGTGAATGGAGCAATGCAACTACAATTATTTTTACATTTGCTCTTATACAATTCTACAAAAAGAGGACGAACTTCTTCAAAAGTAAGCTTTTTTGGTGGTTTGAACGGTCCCATATCTTCTACAATTCTTGTCGAGCGATACGCCGGTGAGATCATGAAGTTTCTGGATTGCAATATTTGGATTGTACTGTATCGCAGTATCGTTTCTATTTGTGATGTCCTCAGTGTGTGCATTCCTCTCGAGTATAATATCACAGACCGCGCAGAATTTCTGCTAAAAACACCTCTCAACATTCCCTATAAGGGAGCGTAAATTATGACAATATTCTTATACAATTTCATGTCAAATGAAAACATGAGACTTGTTCGAGCAAATGATGATGCGAGAGTGCATGAAATCCTGCACCCGCTGCTAAGGGCAAACATATCAACAAAAATGAAAATTGCTGCGCAGAAATTTCAACAAATCTAAAACATTCTCCAATACAACTAGCCCCAATTTGATTTCTGTTAATAATGAAAACCGCCTAACCCATGCACATCTTACCATACATACAATAACAACACTCTACACTGTGGGGGAAAAAACTAAAACTCAACGGACTGCCACGTCATAGAATCTCAACACCTCTAAGCCAATGTACCCCCAAATATACTCAATTGCGCGAACATCGATTTATCCTTTTTAAGCTAAGTAATTGGAGAAAACTGCAGGAAAAGCTTCAGAAATTATGTAGAGTGCCAAGATGATAACAAAATTTTATTTCAATAAAACATATTCAAATGAACACATCCCAGCAGAAGCTTTGTAATCACTTGTGATGCTTGCGAAGATTCATTAGGATTGCCTGAATCTCGTCACGCTTTCTCTTGGCACGAACATGCGATCCAATGCGCCTCTTCAGGAACTTTAGCGCCTTTTTGTCCTTGCTGAAATGTGAAAAAAATCAAAAACCAAGCAAATTCTCCACAATGAATGTACTGATTCCACAGCTCATTCACAAAATTTTCAAAAAATTCAAAATATTACCTGATCCTTAGCAATTCCATCGTTCGTCTTTCATAAGGCGCAAATCCAGCTACCTCACGAATCAGTTCACGAACAATCTTACTCCTTTTAGTTATACGTCCCTTGTGTCTATTTTGGCGTATTTTTCGTTGATTTTTTGTTACCTGCAAAATTTAAGTAAATTACACAGAACTTGACCAAATTTCAGTGGACCTATAAACTGCTCCGAATTCCGCTGTTTCTCAAATAAAAAAAGAAACCTTGTAACCAGTATTAAGACCCACTGCAACTGCTTCAACTGCGACCATTTTGTTTCCTGAAGAAGAAATTTAAAAAAAATAATTCAAGAAACTTTAGCTGTAAAGGGCGTTCATACATTCATAATAAAACATAAGCTAATTTGATGAGCAATGCAACAATCATAAATTGAAAGAAGAACACAAAATATATTAAGATTTATTGGCTGGAGAAATAAAAATACTTTCGCTGTACAAAAATAAAAACATCCGAATTTCCAAAAAAATGGGAAACTTCACCAATTTCATTGGTATATTGAAATTTCAAATAAAAGGATGGTTCAAATGATGCTACAAAAATATGCAAGCCACAGTATGAAAGTGATAACAGAAGCAAAAAATAGGCAAATTTCAACGTAGCACATGGCACAAGTTTGTATTACTTATAGTTATAAAATAATGTACAAGATGTGTTTATGATTGGTATTTATAATAAACATCCTTAGCTCCCACAAGAAGCGATCAATTTACCTATATTAATATAACGCTTTCAAATTAACAAGTTTCAAGTTTACAGACAACAAAACAAAATTTGTCAGCTAACTACTGCTCAAATAAGTTAAATAGAAAATGATAATCCAAAAATATCTATATCCTAAAATCATACACAGCATTTACAAGCAAAATCTTAATGTTTTACATTAAATTTGCCATGGTCATCTTATTTTCACAACTATTTTCAACACTACTGACAAATCCGAGCATTTACAATGTAAACTTGAATTTACAAGTATTTACATTTGAAAACAATAGTAATAAGAGCAAAAAAAGCAAAAAAACTTTATACATAGTGCAACCAACTTAGTTGTAAAGTAGAACTTCATTAATGTGAACACCTTAAACCAGAATGAAATTTCCACAAATTAAAATTGCAACAAAAAAAATCAAGGTGATACACTTCCCATAACAGTTGATGGCTCACTAATTAATTTAAGAGGAAAAAGAAGGAAGCTAATCTTGCTCAACAGAACTTCTGGTTCTAGCTTGCTCAACTCCAAAGTTAGTACTCAGTCGCATCGGCGAATGTGAATGATGATCACGAAACGACATTCTCCTTTTCTTTACAACATTTGTTTGCCCAGCATTTTTACATCCAACTGATTTCAACAAATCAGATATGCTTGACGTCATGTAATTTGTAGTTGCTATTGAAGGACCAAATATATGGATATAAGGATATGTTCTTTGTTTATAATTGCCTGCTTCTACCTGAAATAAGAAGTTTTGATAAACAAGAACGCATTTTCCAGAGAATTAAAATTTAAGTTTCACTAAAAAGAATCTTTACAAATCCATAAAGAAAAAGGGAACCACATGCTTCCTCGCTCTAAAAAATGAAGAAGTAATAAAATTCTTCATTTCATGCACTAACCAAAAAACTGCTAATGATGCAAAACGGAAATAGAGCACCGAACAAAAATGCATTGAACATCATATTATCCGTAAGACTAGTGAAAAGAGTAAGTACAGTGCCATAACCTAAGAAATACGGCCAATTACGTTCAATAAGATTAACGCGTGCTCGTAAACCGATTCCAAGCGACATCCATAAATACTCAAAACTAAAAAAAATGCTGATCAGGACACATCCACACATACTCAGTTTTGCAATTAAGAGTAAATTTCAAATTATGATTCCTAGAACAGTTCAATCATCGACTAGCTACAAACATTATATTTATATTGCAAATGATAACTCTGCTTGCGATAGACAACAAGATCATTCATCAGTCAAATCATATGTTAGAGATGATTAACTAGATGGTCTTTGAAAAAAGTTGTTACCGGAAAATGAGGGAAAGTTAAATCGTCCTTACCACACTCACTGAAAGCTGATATTATCATACTCACTAGAACGGTGCATATATCTGTTACCAAATAAGTCGTTTTTTAAAGATGAAAAAGACTAGCCTGAATAATGAATTAAGCAAGGTTATGTGGATATAAGCAAATGCTGTAGAGATGAAAGGTACCGGAATATTGTTGACAAATAGGGATTGCAAGAAAAAGATACAATCAAGGAGTATCGAAGAACAAAAATCACCGGTCACTCGACTAAAAATTTATTAAGTATAATTCCACAATTTTCGCATCTCAATGTCAAAGTTTAAAGCACCGTTTAATCTATTTGCAATTTTAAATTTCTAGCAAATAGTAGTTATCAAAATGCAGTACTAAATTAAAATTTTCGTTTAGTTATTTCGCATTACGAATTCTATAATGAATGTATGAATTCAATAAAAACAAAAGCACATCAACTGAGCATACCTCAAGGACAGGCTTGGAGTCTGAACACCGGTATATTTCAGTGAAGCGTTTGCGATATCAGAAAACCATATACTGCTGCATATTCGTGAAATAATCAGAGCAGACATACATACTGACCCATGAAGCAATCGAAGAAATGTTGATGTTTGATTAGGCATTGTTACACATAATATGAAGACAAGTAACATGTTCAAAGTGAGTGAATAGACAAGTCTGAAAATCGATAAACACCTCATTTTAATTGATAAAATCCTTTTCTGTTTTTTTGTCCCTTTTGTCGAAGTACCGATTAATCTGTCAATCAGAGGAAGTGTATAGTTACCCTGTAATTGCTTTCGGTTTTGTAACCATTTCAACATTACGTTTTTCTTTCGTTGCACTAGCCCGTCGTCGCTGCTGGAGCACAGTAGTCATTTTTGGATGCAGCAATTCTTTTTGCTTATCTTCCATTTTCCTGCGTTCCACATTTGAGATCTGATCCAACTTGTAAATTACCTGAAATCCTTATTTAACGAAACTAGAATTCTCATATAATATGTAAAAACAGTGACAAAAGATCACTTAAGACCATCTGACCGACTCGTCTTTAAATGTTTTAACATTCTTTCTGGGTTACAGATCAAAGTAAAACAGTGTCTGTAATCTGTAGCTCAATCACATCTATACGCTAAAGTATATGGACGTACATGTTCCACAGACACATTTATTTTCGCCTTTTAGTACTCATAGTACAACACGACAGAGCTGCATGGTGCATGCTACGTTTATACATCATTATTCGCAATACTATTGAATATTCTACACATCGTCAAATTTATAAAATACAGCTAATATACTTCATCCTTCCTACACATTGGAGATATTCTCAATATACTACATGACGAGTATTAGACATATCCGTCTCTGATCCCAAAACTTATTTAAGATAAATGTATTATCCCAACAAAAATTCCTTATACTTACGAAAAGACTTTTCAGCGAGTCTCGCAAACCACATAAGTAGTCGAGCAAACATGTCGGCAAACTCATAATCGTCCACAAAACCCCGCCCACGACACCACGGGACGTTCTCCGGTGCAGGTACACCGCTCACCCACACGCCACTGATCACTTCCACTAAACCTGAAATTGCCCATAGATAAAATACGAGAAGTCACAGTGATAACACAATGCGAAGAATGACCAAACTGCTTACAACAAAGGCCAGAACTATACGAAGGAAATTCTCTCCTTAAAACAGTCGATATATCAATAGTAAACATAAGAATAATTATAGCATACAATTAAAATAACTTTAACCCCCGTACCACACCAATACATTCCCATCCACGTACCCTGTTCCATCTATACCACTCCTCACCTTTCACCTCTCCCATGCCAACATATGTTAGTGAATAAATCAATCAGCTGGTCTGAAAACGAATTGTTAAAAATCGATAAATTTCTTATTTTCTTTATCATACTTGTTAAAATCACATATTCATAAATCACATACTCTCTACTAATTTTCCCGCTCGTCTACTTTTCCTAAAAATCGCATGATTTGGAAACTTCTATCTTTATTGGCAAGAAGCCCTCACTCTTCTTTGTATAAACTTCAAGCAGACGCTATACGGTTGTGATTTTCGGAAACAATTTAAAAATTAACATTTTGATTGATATTCTTTTATTATTATTTCGACGTATTAATAAATTAATCGAAAATACTAATTAAAAAAAAAAGAACTAAAATGTTATAACTATTAAAGACATTTCGTAATTAATTCGTTGTTTGTTACACTGTTAGTGTTCGAAGATTGCTGAGGTCGCACGTGATCGATTTTTCTAGAGTTGGGGGCGATTTCATGCCTGCCTGCAAGGCAGAGGAATTACACTTGAAGCTGCTTGTTCTAGTTTTGTATGATGTGTATTTCATGTGGATGGACTTCATTTCAATTTAACCGTTAATGTATTTAAGTGTTGGTGCATGTGTTCTCATTTTTTTGTTAAGATGTAAGAGAATTTGTGCATTTAAATACACCTGTTATTACGTAGAAATACGCATGTGTCCAATTATATCTGTAAACTTGGATAAAGTATGCATTACTATGGTGTGTAGACATTTAGGAAGACGCAAATATTGTGTTAAATGTGTTTACATGCGGAGAAATGCTCGTTAGTTGCAACGTATTCTTGCCTGACCAAATTATAAGTTTTTGGGTATTTCTGAAGTAGGCTGTTAGAAGCATTCATGTTTAGTAGACTACCATGTGTCAGCCTTATTTTTTTCTACTTCAGTGTTCTATCGTTGTAGTGCAACTATCAATTTTCTCTACAGTTGGTGACTTTAGTTATTAGATTTGTTTTCAGCATAGGAAACTCGAAATGCCTCCACGAAAGAATAAAGCTAAGGAGGAGCAGCCAGTGGTTACATTGGGACCACAGGCCAAGGAAGGTGAAAATATATTTGGTGTCGCACATATTTTCGCGTCATTCAATGATACCTTTGTTCATGTCACTGATATATCTGGTCAGTTGGTAATTCTCTCAATGTTATTTTTATTACTACACAAAAAAATGTGTTTCAAGTCTTGATCATTTCAGTTGGTAGGGACTTGAATTTTGTTTTTTTCGTGTTTTACGGATGTCTATTCCAAAGTTACATGTATAATGAAGGAAATACTCTTCTGGTTTTAAGACACTTTACCATTAGTACTACAGTTTTTGATTATGGATCTCATCTAAAGGTATCCGCTTTCATTCAATTACTGTCTTTTATAATATTTCATCTTTTCTATTTTTAAAAAGTAAAATTCGAACATTGTTTTCAAAATCTTTTTCTTATATCATGGCAAATTTAGTGAGCGGAGACTTTTTGCGCATTCATGTGTACTTCAGTTCAGTCACTATTGGCGAACTGTGGAAGGGAAGAATGCTAAATTATCATTTGGTGTATTTCTGAGTACCTTTTTGTATAAGCATACAAAAATTATAACATCAAATCACAGTTGTGTTAATCTCGGGAACATTTTTTTGTGAGATATTTCAGGAATTTGGGTCCTGGAGTTTGATCTTTATTTGTACTTTTAGAACAAATTTTTCACATCTCAGTTCTCAGTGATCTGTTATATGAGTTTATATATAAAGCTTGCGATGAATTTCCACTTTTTCAAAGATATTTGATTTAGGCCGAGAAACAATTGTGCGAGTAACTGGTGGTATGAAGGTGAAAGCGGACCGTGATGAAGCATCACCCTATGCTGCTATGCTTGCTGCTCAGGATGTCGCTGAACGTTGTAAAGCAGTAAGTTGTCATTATTTTTACTAAGTATAGTCAATTATTGGATGGCGCTGAACAGTTTAAAGTAATGAAGTTCATTATGCGTATAAATAAACTTCGGGAGGGTGGTGAAAAGTTACATTTTTGTTCATGCAACAGTGAACGGGATACTCAGTAGATGGCTTTAAAATATAACGGGTTTATAACAGTTGCGCAAATCGATTTCTTCTAAAATCAGAAATTGGGAAAGTATTTTTTTGAACTATGTATAATTTCGGTAATGATCAATACCCAGTGGTGCTTGAATTATTAATAGCCTTTCGGAGTCATATGTCTCTGCTGATGTAGTCCTCTGATGGCTGTTATATTTCATTAGTGTTTGTCTCTGTTATTATCTTAAATATATATGGACATTTTTAGCTGTCAATTAACGCTTTGCATATCAAGTTGCGTGCAACAGGTGGAACAAAAACAAAGACTCCAGGACCGGGAGCACAGTCAGCGCTTCGTGCATTAGCTCGTTCTGGTATTAAAATTGGTCGGATTGAAGATGTAACACCTATCCCAACAGATTGTACCAGGCGTAAGGGTGGCCGTCGTGGTCGCCGTTTGTGAAGTTTTTTCTACAGTTTATATGCAAATCAGTATAATCCTATGTAACTGATTGTTATTATGGGTGATATGGTTGATCATGGATGGTGTTATTTTTATTCGTAATAAAAACCCCGTAAATTTTTGTGGAAAGATTGATTGTTTTATGGTCAAATACTGTTCTTCACAGGCAACAAATGAAACGATTCATGTGAAGGAGAGATAATTGGGAGAGGAGGATTAAGAAATAGTCTATTGACATATGAGGAAGATTTATTAATGTAACTGATATATTTGAAGTTATGGATCATTATGGTACGTATGTTTTCATTGTGATAGGTAGCCGAAGCTGTGCAAATATTTTTTACGAGGACATAGTTATGATCCACTTGTGACGCATTACTCCTGCCTACAGCCATTGATGGATCATAGGATATAATATCCATTGAATTTATTGTAGCTGATAAAACAAACACATAGAGTTTTAGAAAGTCATATTTTGATTCACTGTGTTAATGTACTACGCGACTTTTGCCACGGCTCTGTTATTATACATCCAAGAATGCAATGGTTCGTTTCTGGCTTTTTGTTAAAAATGAAAAATGTTATTAATAAAGTAGGAACTGAGTCTTCTGTATTACACTGATCCATTTTCGATAGCATTGACATTTTAACCAAAATTCATAAATCATTGGTTAAAATCTGGACATTTCTGAAATGTAGGGGAAGTTCTTGATCAATGAGTTTAATCATTGGCATATGAGTCCAGCACGCATAATTCTGGTTTAGGATGCGTTCCGTATATTTAAGGTAGTTACAGATTTATATTGCTGGGAGTAGTTTCATTTTGAGGGGAATTTCTTTTCAAGTGACAGTATTCAGAAACATTGCAGAAGCCATGGTTATATTTTCTAGGAAAAATGGACACCCAGTTTTTGGAAGAAAAAATTTTGCTAGGATAATATTTGTGAGTAGATTTCCACTCGCCAAATCAATTTCTAGGTATTGGCCGTTTATGTCAAAATGGGGTACAATGCCCGGCTGGACAGTACTGTATTTGGGGGAAATGCTTTTGTTTCAATGGGCAAGTCTTGATGAACGATAGATGTGTTGTGGACTTTTATTGCCGGAACGGAAAAGAGGTGCAATCTTACTGAAACTCTGATATCAAATGACAAGTTATTGATTGAGTTGAAATTAAAATTCTTTAAATAACGAAGAAATAAAGGGAAGAGATTTTTTAAACTTATTGCGAATAAGTTTCATTATTAAAATGAGATCAAAAATTGCCATCCTATTTACTTAATAGCAACTGGTCAGAGAAATATACGACGATGAATATAAGTGAAGTGAAAATTAGAACAAGTTGATTACTATAATATTGCACACTATTTTACAAATGATTGAATAAGATTTTACACTCTTACAAAGGTGATGATATATGTAAGTAAGGTAAAAAAACAGAAAGATTGTGTTCAATAATCCTGAATGATATGACAGCTTTTACTACTCACAAAAATTTGCACTTAAAATTACATTGTGATATTTAGGACTGTAATGCTAGGAATGAATTTGACATATTAGCATTTCAACAGAACCATGAACTAAATATTTTATGCAAGTCTGATATTATTATCGATTTTTCTAATTCTTTTTCTTATTAACTTTTCTATGGAAATAAGCATATATTGTGATAAATATCGGAGAATAGAAAAGAGAATTAAGAAGTAAGTGGAATTTTGAAAATGATATAAATCCCCCGTGTGACTTAAAATCAATGAATGTTACCAAGTTGTCTCATATAGTTTTATTTGCTTCGAACGAAATCAAAATTATATCTTGATTTCCTAACTTTACTCTAATTCTTTAACTTTTCCTAATATCTTATAATTTTATCCCATAGGAATGGAATTCGTTTTTGTTTATCAAAATTGAAGTTAAGGTTTATCATAATGGACAATGCTATCACCTATCAGCGATCGGCGGCAAATGCCTTATCAATGAGCAATGTTATGGTGAATCATCCTGTGTAAATAATTCTTGCACTTGTCTTCACGGTTCATCATTATATAACATTTCTTTTATTTAATATGATTAGATTTAGCAAGAAATATTTAGTGAAAGTTTAAAAAAATAAGCTCTCATTCTAGGATATCAAACAAGTTTTAAATTGTAAGTACTTATTATGATAATCTACTTTAGATTTGAATTTGATTCCTAACACTTAAATTTATTTTATCGAGGAGATGTTTCACATGTATTCTGATTTGGGGTTTATCTTATAACACTGTAGAAATGGAAATGATAAGAACGTTGTAGTGTTCAAATATATAGATGAGTCAGGCATCTGAAATTGTCAACATGATGCCAAGAAAAACAAATGAAGTATATGATAGTCTTAAGAAATTTCCATTGAGTCATCTATTCGGATGTTACCACTGATATCTGATAAAAGAATAAAGATAAACTAGTAAGAAAGTATCACATATCATCAAGATGATTGTATCACCATTTATCTAGCTAGCATATAAAATCGAAAACTTTCAAGGAAATCAAATCCAACTTTTAACTTATCAAATAACCGAAAGAGTAATGACATAATTGAATGAGCTATAAGAATTTATATCTTCAGATATATTTTCATCAAATTTTCGAATTAGTACGGATGTATCGGTGACTTTTTCGACTCTGAACAAATAATTAATTTATCTTAAAAAGTCTCAAATTAGATTGAGATGGCTTAAGAGAGATTAAGTTATAAGGTTTTAAGTTATAAGTTATAAGCTTAAGAGATTATATTTTATAAGGTTTATAAGTTATAAGGTTTATAAGGCTTAAGTTATAAGGTCTAATTTTTATTTCTGCAGAAACGATTAACGTGAATGGATTATGTCTAAAAAAGAGTTCACATCCTATCCGTCAATGCGAAATTCATCAAATTCTTATCAAAGAACAATGCTTGGATATTGTTACAATTGGTGAATCATGTCAACTGGATACACAATGCTCCGATGGAGCTAATTGCTTAAATCAACGCTGCTCATATCCATTAGGAATTGTTCAAAATGAACAAATGTTTCTTATTGACTTTTTATAAAATTTTAAAGTTGAAATATATTTCAATATTATTCAATGGCAATTGATTGAATTACTTCAAAATTAGGAAGGAAGAAATGGCAACAAGAAGATATATATTTTATTTTATATTTTATAAGATTTTGATATTTTAGTAGTTTACTAATATTACTACTACATTTGATTGGAAAAAAACAATTTTATGGAATTTTAACTTCAATAATAGCAATTAGTGATAATATTAATAATAATAAATAAATAATAAATGGTAATAGTAAAGAATAATAAGTAATGAATGGTAGTGATAAACAATAATAAATAAACAATGAACAAAAATAAATAATAAATAAATAGTAAATAATAGATAATAAATAATGATAATAAATAACAATAATAATAGTAACGATAATAGTAATGATAGTAATGATAATTAAATAATAGTAATGAATAATAATAAATGACAAACAGTAATAATGAATAATAAGTAATAATAATAAGGATAATAATTAATAATTATTAATAATAGTAATAAGTAATGATAATAAATAATAACAAAGATAAATAATGATATTGATAAATAATAATAAATAACAATAATAATAATAACAGGTAATTATTATTTAATAAAAGTAAAGGAGCGAAAGTTTCCAATAATTCTATTTATAATTATAATTAATAATAATTTTATAACAACAATAAAATTCCACATTGTAGCCTCACTCTTTTCATTTCATATTTTGCAAATCATTTAATGATTGCTAATTTTTTGCATACTTTTTGTTTACTTTTATTTTACTGAATGATTCATAACTTTTATAAAATTTATAGATTTGCACAAAAGAATTGTTCGGAAAATGAAGTATTAATTAATGAAACATGTTTATCTCGGATAATTCCCGGTGAACAGTGCATAGATTCAGCGCAATGTTTAGATGGTTCAGAATGCTCTTCTATCACACATATTTGCATTTGTCTAGAAGGAATGAATAATATTGGCGGATATTGTCGAAAATTATCTTACACTGATCCATGTAATTCCGTTTCTCTGGTATGTCTTACTTTTTTAGCTATCAATTTGGAAAATTTAATTATAAATTAATAATCTAAATATGCAATAGATAAATTATAATAAATAATGAAATGATGTATTCTCGGTACGATTTGGTTTAAAATTTTTCTTTAAATAATTCAAAGTGAAAATATCTTTAAGAAGCTGTCATGAAGAGCATGAAACTATATAAATTGAAATATCTCTTAAAATTATTCATAAAAAATGAGAGTAAAAAGAATATTAATAAATGAATTTATAATTAAAGTTCATAAGGTTAAAGAAGAATTTAATTTTTATTAATTTCTATTTTTTAATTTTTTGATAAATTTTATAAATTATATGAAATGAAAAACGATATAATATGATAATTCAAGATATACGCTAATGACAGTTGTCTATCAATTACAAAACCAGGCGATAAATGTATTTATGATTTGCAATGCCTTGGTGGATCTATTTGCACAGATGGTCATTGTAATTGCCCTCAGATTACTATAAATATCAATGGATACTGTATTGGATCTATATTATGTAATCAAAATGATGTGATAGTTCAATATTTTCTTTTCTATAAATTATTTTTATTTAAATTATGTAAATTTCAAAAATAATAATTTCATTAATTAGTTAATATATAAATTAATATATAATGATGAAATGTAATTATAAATTAATGTTAAAATAATTAAAATTTATAATCTAAAAAAGGCATAGTTAATTTTTTGTAATGAAATTTTAAAACAGATATTTTTGAATAATCGTTGTTTCAAACGTGTTACTCTCAATGAATCATGCATGATAAGTCAACAATGTCCCATTAATGCTATATGCAATTATGCTGCCAAATGCGCTTGCGCAATTGGAATGATAGTAAGTTTGATTATAACGAAACAAAGAAATCATTGAAATTTTTGTTTGAATTGAATTTATTACTGTAAAAGAATATCGGAATATTTTGAAGATTTAACAAAAATTTTTTCCATTTGTTAAATTTATTTTCATTTATTAATTAAAAAAATTTTCCCTAATTTTTTTATTTATTAAAATTTGACAAATTTATTGTTTTAATAATTTTTGTAATTTCAATATTTAAAACAATGAATGAATTATCATTGTAGATGATAGATGGACGATGTAAATCTTATCAGATTAATTATTGTAAAGATAACAAAATTATGGTTAGTTATCATTTAAATCTAAGTTTATTATCAATTTTGCATATTTATCATTTTTAATTGGAACTGAAATGATAGTAAGAATAAATTTTGTTAACTAAAAATGTTAATTAAAAATTTATTGTTTTATTTGTATTGTATACTTTATTCATTGATAGATTTATAGCAATTGAATAAACATAATTTTGAACAATCATAAAATTTAATGATAAAATAGTATACATAATCAATTAATGGCCAATAATAAGTTCTTATTGTAGTAGAAAATAGTAAGCTAATTAAAACTAATACAATAAGATTACTTCAAAAGAAAAATATTCAGCTCAAGCCAACTGAGTTTTCTAACAAATATATATAAATGTACTACGATTTCTAATTAATGCATTCTTTGTTTCTCCTTCGCTAATTCATAATTAAATTAAGTGCTAGTTATATAAGATTGATTCACGGCAATTGATTTACAGTAAGCAATAGAAATTACGGTGAAATATTACATTTGTCTTACATCTACTGATAAAAATGATCAGTTTTTATCTAACTGATAATCAGTTTCAGGTGAATGGACAATGTGTAAAAAGACGTGTTCCAGGTAGCACATGTATTGCTAATGAACAATGTTTGGATGAATCAAATTGCTTGAATGGATATTGTAGATGCGCTAATGGTACTAAGCTTCTCTCAAGGTTAGTGAAATTTTTGATTAGCTGACATTCTGATTGAGAACGATAGATATGATAGATTTAGATATGTTTTCATCAATAAAAATTTGCGAAAGATTTTTAGCTTCTCCTTATTACCTTTATAACTTTTCAGGTATTGTATTCGGCGTAATGAAACCGAAAAATGTGATGATACCTATCAAATTTACGTAAACGGAAAATGCTTAGATTTAGCAATACCAGGTGAAGATTGTGTTGACAATTTGCAATGTATTGCAGCTTCGATATGTCGTGCAGGTAAATTTCAATGAAAATTTTAAATTACATTGAAAAATTTTAATTAATTTAATTTAGCTAAAGTTTTATTTTATTTGATTTTTGTTGCTTTTGTTTTCTATCTTCCTAAAAAATATACATATATAAGCTGTAAGGATTTATTTAATTGAATATAATAATTTATTGTACTTGTATATACAACAATAACTATTACTTATTAACGGCAATATAATTAATTCATACCAAATTGATCTTCCACCTTTTCATTATTTCAAATTAATTTATCCAAGTGATAGTATCGATGTTTCTTTGAAGTTATTTGATTTAATTTTGATATTGTTTTTCACTTAGGTAAATGTGTATGCTCAAATGGATATATTAAAGTGAAAAAATACTGCATTCAAGATTTTAAACCTTCAATGGAATGTAATAATGATCAGGTATGATATCACATTGAATGCACAAATACAATCAATACAATCGGTATATGATAATCATAGATAATCATCTAACAGAATACTGAAGTTTAACTTTTTTTCTACTCTTCCAATTTTATCATAATTTATTTATTCAAATAAGTTTCAAACAAAGGAAATAGTTTAATAGTTTATTAGTTCATTCAATAATTAATTTAATAATTATTTATTTTAGACAATACAATCATTGTAGTATTACCCAATTTTAGGTTTTGATAAATGATCATTGCTATCAGTTAGCTAAAATTGGTCAATATTGTATCGATACAGCTGTTTGCTTAGGTGGTTCCATTTGTTATAACAATTACTGTACTTGTCCAAAAGATACAGTTGCTGAAAATGAACAATGTCGACGAGAACGACATTGTCTGGAGAATGAAATTCAAATAGATAGAAATTGTTATCCACGGATTAATATTGGACATTATTGTCAATTTACTGAACAATGTACATCAATTTCAACTTGTCAAAATGGTATCTGTATCTGTCCACCAGGTACTGTATCTCAAAATAACATTTGTATATCATCTGGTTCATGTCCTACTGGACAAATATATATTGCTGAAAGTTGCTGGGATATAGCTTATCTTGGAGAGCAATGCAAGTTCACACAACAATGTCAAGGTTATTCTACATGTATCGATGATACATGCCAATGTTCTGATGATACCGCGGTACAAGATGGATTATGCATTAAAGAACAATGCAATAGTAGTGAAATTATGATCGATGGAATATGTTACAATACAGTATGTTTCTATTTGAATGCTATATTTTATAAAAATTTTCAACCTTTTCAATTTAGAAACAGTTATAGAATCTTCAATAAGAATCTTCATAGAATCTTCAATAATTAAATATTGAATCAAACAATCAATTAATCATTTTCTCATCTTATATTGTAAAATAGGATTGTTAATTTCAGTATAATACGTATAGAAGTTTGAGTGCGCCAAAAATTTTTCTTATACATACTCTGGAATCTTTTATTCTAATTTTATTTCGCTATTATTGATAAATTCATTTAAGTCATAATTGATGCTATTTTAGCAAATTGATAAATTTCAAAAGATTAGATAATTAATTAATCAATAAATTAGCAATAACATTAGTTAAATTATGCAATAATTTATGCAGGCAAAAATTAATGAATTTTGCTATTATACGAAGCAATGTCAAGGGAATGCAACTTGTCGAAGAGATAAATGTACATGTCCACCAGGTACTATTAATTCTAATGGTACCTGTATCATCAATACGAAATGTCAACCATATCAGATTTCCATCAATAATTCATGTCTTGATACTGTTCCTATTGGAATGGCTTGCCAAGATAATTCTCAATGCATTGGTGTGTTTTGTATTTTAAATTTAAATGAAATGAAGTTTCTATATTCCTATAAATTTAAATAAGTTTCTTTTTTTTAAAATAAATAATAAAATTTGAAATTTTTCCATTTCTCTTTTTTACCGCAAATATTTCCATGAAAATATTTGCTTCTTTTTATTTCCCTTTTCTTAAAACAATTTAAATTTTATTATTTAATAATTTAAAACTTAAATTTTCTTTCTTACAATATTTGCAAGCAACAATTTATTGATAAATTTTAATCTCTCAAATATTTATAATATTTTTGCTGAGAAAATTTTAATTTAATTTAAATGTAAATTATCGATTGATAGATTAATTACAAAAGTGAGGAAATTTTGCAGAATCAGCAAGTTGTATGCCAGGAATAAATTTGATTAATTCTAATAGTCGAACATGTCAATGTAATAATGGTACGATATTTACTGGTTACAAATGTTTGACCTCACCGATACAATGTCCCATATCTACCGTTTATATCATTGATGAAGTTTGTTATCCATTGGTAGAAATAGGACAATTTTGTTTATATACTATTCAATGTATGGGTTATTCAGTATGTTCAGGCCAAATATGTAAATGTCCTCTTGGCTATACTGAAATTCATAATGTTTGCAGGAGAATTAATTGATAATGATAATATGATATTACATAGTGATGATATATTAGCTGTCGTTTCTCTTATCTTTTAATTTTCAATTAATTTCAGAAATATATTTGCAATAGTTATTGATTAAATCTACTTGAATCCTTTTCTTGATAAACAATTAATATGTTTTATACACAATTCTTAGCAAAATTTCATACCAATTTAATAACAATTAAGAAAATACAAAAACAATAAAGGTGGCAATTATAAATTTAGGCATATTAATTTTCTTTTCAATCCTAATAATTTTATTGCTCTAATGTAAAATACAAAAAATAAAATTAAATTTTTACAAATTGAAAAAATAATTGAAATTGTTGGAATAAATTTAAATTTCTTATGGATAAAAATTTTAGTGTACAACAATCCTGAAATAGCAAACGGTCGAATATTAAAAATCGCTTTCGTTCATTTCTAATTTTTGTTTTTACTTACTATAAATCGTTCGTTGCCTTAAAGGTATAAATTAATAATAAAATGTCGTTGTCAAGTGAAAAAAATTTGGAGAAGAAAATAAAGAAAAAAGAAATGATTAAAACGAAGCAATTAAGTAAAAAGGTTAAATTTATTTCTGTTAAATTTCATTTTCTTTTTCCTCTCGTCAAATAAATCTACCAATTGATCGAGATAACCCGGGATATTACTGACGAATGAGTAAATTTTCCAATTTTGTACATATTAGAGTCTTATAACAAATTCGATTTTAAAACATAATTGATATTTCCATCAATAATGTAGGACTCAGAAGGTCAAGAAGTAAAATTTGGCGAATCGTTAGCATCATGTTCGGATATTGAATGGGATAGAGCTGATCCAGCTTATGCATCTGAACTTATTAATGTGGAAAAGAAACCTGTATGCTTAATTTATTATCAGCTTATCAATCTTCTCTTTCATCCACACCAAAAAGCCAAAACAAAATTATCAACGGAAGAGAAACAAAGAGAATAAACGTTGCTATTTCGGAAAAAGATGGCGTTTCGCAATTGATCGTAAATCGATTCAAATTTCCTAAATTAGCGATTTGTTTTATTTTCATTATTACCTGTGTAAATCTATTACTAATTTAAATAGGTAAGGTTAATCGAGTATACAATGAAATTGTCAAAAAATTTTTTATATTTATCCTCAAATTTCACATTATGACTTCAAATAGTTTTCAGGATAAGGTAACAGTTTTTGCTGGACCAAGTGCGAAAACAATTGAACGGACAATCATTCGAACCGATACAGTTTCCGAAAGTTTTGGTAGGAATGATATATGCGAAATAAACAAAGATATGTTAAGAGTGAAAAAAAGGAATGAATTATTGTTTACTCTTGTAAAGACACCTTAAGAAAATCATGAATTTCATATAGCGAATAATTTAATTCTCAAGTTATTGTAATCAATTTTTATCTATCCTCTAGGATACTAATTTAATTAATAGTTTATTTCCTTTATTTCCTATTAATTTAATTAATAGAATTTGATTATACAACGCAACACTGCACTCTCTTGCTTATATCATCTGGATGATAATCGCTTTTTCAGATGAAAACGCTGATGCAATTGGACGTATGGCATCTGCAATTGCACACATTTTCCTTTCCGATAAAACAATTCCATCTGTAAATGTTTCCATTAATCTTCAAGAAATTCCAAATGGCCCACAAACTTCTATTGAACCAAGAAAATCATAAAGGAAATTAAATTTTATGAAATCTACAAAAAATTTAATCTTCTAATATTATTTTGCTAGGTTAAGTTTCTTCTTCAATCACTTCATTAAATGCTAATTGTCATAGTTTCGCAAAATTCAAAAGTGCTATCCAATTATGATTCGAAATTTAAATATGTCAAGTTGAAATCCATATTTGAAATGAGATAATATGATCATTTTATAATTAATGATTTATTTTTTTGTTTAGATATTCTTTCAAGAATAAATAAAATTTTTGAGCATTATTGATCTAATGGAAAATGAAATAAATTACGTTTCATTTCACTACAATAAATAAAACACACACACACACACACACACACACACACACACACACAATTCACGACAATAAATAAGATACACACAGCGACGGATAAAATACCCGAGAGAAAGTTAATTTTATATGAGAATTAATATTGCATAATAATTGAAAAGTTAGAATTATAGCAAATATTAAAATTTTCACTTCCTAAATCTTCCGAATACGTTTCCGGAAACAATTTCATGCGGAAAGATTCGTACCCCTTATTAAATATTTAATCCTCACGTCATTTTGTATATCATGGCAACGAAAAGTTTCTGCCTGAGTCAACATTAAAAAAATGTAATAATAAATATTCACTACAATAAATAAGATACACACGACAGGTAAAATACGAACAAAATACCTGAGCGAAAGTTAATTTGATCGGAAAATTATACAAGACATCTGAACAATAATAATGATAAACAATGACAAGAACATTTAGCTGCAATGAAATCTTAAAAACTTGAAACGATTAATGTGCAAGCGGAAATTTTAAGTGGCATTAAATTTGTTGCTGCATGTGTTTGGTTCTTTTCGGATCCGTTTCGTGTTTTCTCAAGTTCTCCTCGATATCTTACTATTTCTTACTACTTCTATTGTTTCTTAATATTTTTAAGTTCTTCTAAATTCTTCTAAAGATCTTTTGTTTTAGTAAATGATTTATCATCGACGCTATTCGGCGGAGTATCAGAATTTATCAGATAAATATTTGATTGGAAAAAAAGACATCGAAGCGGAATGTTTTCATCGGCAATATTATCATATATATCGGGCAAGAGTTAAACTGTTGCAGAAACGAATTATTGATAATGCAAAGCTATTACTTGGTATCATCTTATATCGATGAAAAGTATGAAATGAAATTAGAATTTTAAATATGTTCCAATATATCAACTAGTGTTGCTAATTTACACTTAACGTTAATAACGATAAAAATCAATTAGAAGTTGAACCGAATAATTTTGTTTGTCTAGTTGATATTGAAAAAAAATATAATAAATGAGCAAAGTTAGCACGGTGAATGATAAAATAAGCAGTTAGGGTGTCATAGGTTCTCTGAATTTGGCCTCTTAATAGTTACTGATATGAAAGAGAAGAGGAAAGAATATGGTAGAGAGCCTATCTCCACTTGCAAATTTTAATTTTAAAAAAAGTAGATGAAATAATGATAACCAATTTTAAGGTGACGATGTTGAACCACGTCGACTTACAGAGGTTAGAAAAGATGATATGGTTTTAGTCATTGGTGTGGTAGCAAAACGTGTTAAATTGAGGCCAAGTATCCTTCGTGATCTTGCTGAGGAACTGCTTATTCTTCCACAGCCAGTTGCCGAAGACAAGTAAGATGATTGACATTTTCGGAGTTAGCTTAATTAAGTTGATTTTAATCAACTTCTCGTAATTCCAAAATTTTGAGTTTAATGTGAAAATAATTTTTGACAGCAGATTAGTAGGTGAAGAAGATTTCGTGGAATTCGAAGACGACGACCAAATTGTCCGCCTTTCTGGTGATTTTGTTATGGACGAATTTGCTACAGGATGTGTGGTTGGCATATATGGCACGCAACTTGATAATGATATTTTTCAAGTTAGTCGGGCGATTTGGCCTTCTAAAGCACCACAGCCGACATATCCAGTTCTAAATGATGACAGGTAGTTTCACGTCACGATTCAAGTTGGAAGGAACTATAGCAGATAGTCTTTTTTTTTTATAATCATCAAATTAATTTAATTTATTCAAATGAAAATAACCGGCTTTATTCTGCCTTTACTCCAGTAAATGATTTGAAATTAGAACAAATTTTATTTTATTAACTAATAAAAGTTTATTAGTTATTTCTGTTAAGATATGTTGTGTTCGTCTCAGGATTTTCCTTCACCGGCCAAGCTGATAAAGATGCTGAAAAGATATTTTCTCTTGATTTGTTGCAGAAGTGGCTTTGTGGCTCTCTACCGCTGTTCGGAAAGGTTTCCACATTATGAAATCATTTTCTTTGAAATCAGTTATGTACATATTGATAGGATTTTATATACCCATGTTCTATCATCCTTTCCTTGGTGAAGAACACGCATGTCGTAACAAAGAGTGCTTCAATTCTTTTATCATTTTAATATTCTTGATGTACGTTTCTGTGTGTTCAATTTAGGGTATTGCAGATGAAGAAATAGCATTTATAAGTTTTGTGTGATTGTCTTCAAAAATTGTCACTCAAAGATTTGAATTGAGTCATTCTTATTTCAATAAATGAAAAAAAAGTTCTTGCTAAATGGAATCCTTTCAGGAACGTGATATCGTAGAAAGGGTAGTGCGATTAATAGTAGCCGGTGAAAGTGTTGCTATTACGGAACAGGTGAGTTGCGTATTTAAGATGTTTGATATCAATTGTTCAACTCGGAAAATAAAATGTTCAAATGTAAGTGTAATTTATGTTTTTGAAGTTCTCAATATTTTTGCTTCCAGGGAAGAGAATTTACAACTGCTGCTCGTTATCTAATTAAAAATGAGGAGTGCCCAAACGTTGAATGTGTAGCACATATGGATAAATTTTTATCAAAGATATCTGTAAGTTGAACTCGTTCTTTGCACTTATCCATCGTAATGTTTATTGGGGTATGTATGCATCCTTGTCTACAAAAGTACTTGCAAGATATTCCAGAGTTTGCTGGAAGTTGATGTCATGCCTGGTCTAGGTGATCCATCTACTTATTTAATGCCTCAGCAACCGATTCATCGTGCAGTATTTCAAATGGGTTCAAAACACGGTAAGATGCTCAATCTCGTAACCAACCCTTATCAGTTCAGCTTGGAAGGCGTTCATATTATGGGAACATCGGGTGAGTCAAACAGAATTGATAAATTTATGAACAGTTTTAATGTATAGAACGATGTATTTTGTTCTTATCCCTCTTTTCATATCTGGAAATGATTTAAAAAAATTACACAAGGTATCGTAGTCAGATATTAATTTCAATCAAGCTTACGAACAAATCCTTTTAGGCGAATGCTTGTCTGATTTGAAACGTTTCACGAAAAAATTAAACGGTATTGAATTACTCAGCCAAATTCTTCACTGGCAACACTTGGGACCGACTATTCCGGATACGGTAGATGGATTTCCATTCGTGGATCGAGACCCATTTATTATTGAATCGTTCCCCCATATACTTTTTGCAGCCAATCAGCCGGAAGCATCGCATATTATTGTTGAATATGAGGGGAATCGACGCACACTCCTTCTTTCCGTACCGAGTTTTACGAAAACATTCTCAATGGTACTCGTAAACTTACGAAACCTTGAAGTCATTGAACATAACTTTTCTGTTGATCGGCTAATTTGTTAAATTTAAATGCGTGATATGATTATTTCTGTTGCAAGAGCTTTAAAGGAACTAGAAGATGTCTTCCACGAAAAAGTTTCATCACTAAACGAACAACATGTATAAAAAGAAGAAATATAGCAAGAATGATTGCTTAAAATCATACCACTGCATGAATATGTTACTATTTTGACTATGATTACCCAATAAATTTATCATTTTAGCTAAGTACAACACAGAAAATAGTTCAGTCTTTGTAATGGACAACCGGAATAACTTCAAACACATCAGTACATTAGTCCTTCTCAGATATTTAAGCAGAATGCAAGTTTATATGGGGATGCATGCAGGATAAGAGATTGAAGAAGTGCAATTAATGTGACAAAAGATTCAGACATACCGTCTACTTGCGATATACGGTACGAACTATACTCATATATAACATATATATGCAATAACAGGTAAAGATGCACAAAAATGACAACCATTCAAATATGATCTATGGCAAAAGCAAGAGATTTAGTAATCATAGCAATCTATAAGCACAAAAAGGGATACACGAGAATGAACGATCATTTAAATGTGATGAATGCGATAAAGGGTTCAATGATCGAAGCAATTTGCAGGAACATAAATAATATACATATGAGCGAAAAAGTATTCGAAGACGGTAGCAAAATGATGAATGGGGTAGCAAATTCAATCGAAATTTCACTTTAAAAGCACAAGAAGATTGATGCTCTACTGCAAAGGGATATTCTACAGTGAACTCTACAATTACGCAAGCTTTGGAAGATATCTCTGTTATGGATATATTAATAAGGGAAATAATTTCAACCATATGGCTGTAAAATTATTATATTATAGTGGTTTAAATTATATTTCTGTTATTTTGCTTTCTATTTACGCTTAATTCTTGATTGAATCCAAAAGTGACTGGTAGAAACTGAGTGGAAGGAAATCTATGAATGATAATCGGACAGCATCTCTTACTGGATCTACTTTATCACTTAAATCTCGAAAATCAGAGCTATTTTTGCGGACTTTAAAAATCAGAGCTATTTTTATTTTTGCGTGCAGCAATAAAATTTAACAGAAAATCAGAGAGATTTTTGGAGTTCTCGAGATTTTAGTGATAAAGTGATAACTAAAACAACATGCTGCTCGCTTCGCTTAATAGCTTAATAGGAAAGTGAAGCAAATAGCAATTGTAGAAATCGAAAAAGTTTTAAACGATAAACGAAACATAGCACGAGCAATAGACAACTCGTAGGAAAAATGATTTCTTTTTCAAACTAACAAGAATCAGAATTGTCGGATATGAAGGAATAACTGGGTATTCAAACGTAGATAACCATATAATTATGTTTGCGCTCATATTCTTAAAAAAACTTTGAGAAAGTTGGTCTCAAATACATTTTTAAATTTCCGGCAATAATATAATATCATGTTAAAATAATTTGTAATTTGTTCATATGTAAATATATTTCAACAATAAACATTTTTTGCTTATTGTTTTGTTTCGGATCCTTATTCCTTTTTCGCCTGCATTTGTCAAAAAAATTGATTGAAAAAGTAAACCGATATTGCCATTCTTGTGAACACAGCATTTGTCGGAAAAACCAAATTATATGCCGCAATAAATTTGTATATTCCATAAAACCAAAGATTGTCTTATTTGGATATTCCCTAGACAAATATAAAACTACTCCAATTTCATATCTTCTGTTATTCAAACCTCATCTTCTGATTATGGCTGATTATCTGCTTTGCTTAGAATGTTACAATTTGTTAACAAAGAACATGTGCATTGCGTAATATGTTTAAATGTGCTCTCAATTTTATGGATAATTTCTTCCGATTTGACAGCCATATTTGTATCAACTATTGATTGGTTATAAGCTCTTTGTCCATTGACTTTCTTTGTTTAGAACGAAATCTACTTCCAATGTCAAAATATTGCAGAGGTCTTCCAATCTGACAGTCACTCTTATAAGCAATTTTCACAATGTTAAAAGCCAACTCCCACTCTGTAAAAGTAAAGACCACCCAATATTGTAACTGACTAGTTGTAATCCAATGCCCACAACACATAAGGGTTTAAATCCTTTACTCGGCACAGTTTTTTGGAGAGTATCAGCAAGTGTCCAGCAGTTGGCCTCGCACATTTATTTAACCCTTTCATTCAAATCTTTTACTTATTTGCGGAAACGTTTATTTCTTCCGCTTCATCTCCTTCAGTCGACTTCAAAGATAATATCTCTACGCAATTATCAGTGTATTGTCATTACAGGTTAATATTTTGTGCAACATATTGACAATAAAATTCGTTACAACAGACCCTATTATGCAACATATTCGCCAAACTCCGGATTACAACCAAGAAAGAACAATTAACAAATCCACGAAATGAATTCCACGACATTGCATCTTTACTCTCAAGTTTAACACTGTATCTTATTCTTAAGCTTTTCGTGAAAAGGAGAAATCTATTAAAAAATTAAAGTTTGAAATTTTTGAACTTTAAAACAATAAAAAGGACAATATAAAACGAAGACATCACTATTTTGTAGGATACGAACTTTTCAACTTATATATCATTCACATTAGCGTTTATAAGAATCATCACGATAAAGCTGTGCAATAACCTGTTCGTACTTCTCTTTTATTTGACGACGTTTCAATTTCATTGCTTCAGTTAAAAGACCGCTCTCA